AGAGAGAGAGAGAGAGAGAGAGAGAGAGAGAGAGAGAGAGAGAGAGAGAGAGAGAGAGAGAGAGAGAGAGTCCAGCCACCAAGCCAACCAACCCCACAAACTGAGAGTGGAGGGTAAGTGTAGTGATACTCGCCCTGTAGGTAAACGAAAGGAAAAAGACGGACTGAATCAGCCACGACAGTCAGTGCTCACCAAAGCCAGCTGGGTCAGGACAAACTCGTCCACCATTTGTGATTCTCTTCAAGTCCTCATTCGTTCCAGTCACAATTTTAATGGCTCGACTCTGCATCTGCCATCTGGCAGCCCCTCATCACCCAATGACTCAGATTATGGAGGTGCTCAGTCGCCTGCTCAATCAAACCCATATTGCTCCAAAAGGTCTACTGACAATAACAAAAAACGGACCATGTCCGGAAAGGAAATTTGGTAATCTTCCAACTTCTCAGTCATCGCTGCCACAGCTTTGCTCTGCACCTTGTGCTTCTTCTCTTCAATGTCTGACAGTATCACCAATGCAACATGTAGCGGGACAATTTATTTTACTGTCGGCCATTATGGTATGCACTGTGGAGGGCTTGCCAGAGCAGACGCTCAGCATCTGATCCATTGATGGATGAGGTGGACCAGTCATTGCTGCTACTAGTCTCATGGCAGACTTGGCATTTGCACAGCTCCCCAATGACTGAGACTTGAGAGACACTGAATCGACGGGACTTCTCTGTCAAGGATAGCCACCTTCCAAAAATCCACACCTCCCAAAAATCCACTCACATTTTCTGATTCCAGGTGCTGATGACAAAGTAGACGACATGAAGTCAGGGGTAAGACGAATCATGTTGCGCTGCATGGAAGCCCACATGACGGAGATATCAATTAAAACCCGCGAGTCGTGTTCATCTCCACAAACCCTTGACATGGATTCCAAATAAAACTAGACTGAACTAAGGGTCACTGGATGTACCACCCATTTCACCTGGTGCCGATGCACAACAACAGCTTCCTACCCCAAACATCCCTGCCCGCTCTGCATGCCAGATGCCTCAGTCCTCTGTTGCCAATATCTTCACTCAATAATCCATACCATGACATGCATCTCTCTCTCTCCACTTCTCTCACTTCTCCCTCCCTCCCTCTCTCTCTCTCTCTCTCTCTCTCTCTCTCTCTCTC